CCCCCCCCCCCCCCCCCCCCGCCCACCCATCCATGACACGTGTCCATATGTCCACAACACCCGTCCACACGTCAACACCTGTCCACATGTCCACCCATCCACCACACACGTCCACACGTCCTCCTGTCCACCACACACGTCCATATGTCCACACCACCCATCCACACATCCACAACACCCATCCACACGTCCACCACAAACATCCACACGTCCTCCTGTCCACCACACACGTCTGTATGTCCACCACACACGTCCATATGTCCACACCACCCGTCCACCCGTCCACAACACCCATCCACATGTCCACACGTCCACCACACACATCCACAACACCTGTCCACACGTCCACCACACACATCCGCCTGTCCACCACACACGTCCATATGTCCACACCACCCATCCACCTGCCCACAACACCCGTCCACACGTCCACCTGTCCACCACACATTTCCCCATGTCCACACCACACGTCCACACGGCCATGACACATGGCCATGATGTCACCCGTGTCCACGGGTCCATAACATGACTGCATGTCCATGACAAACGTCCACGACACACGTCCACACGTCCATGACATGCGTCCACATGGCCGTGATGTCACCTGTGTCCACAGGTCCACAAGATGTCCACACCATGCTTCCACACCACACGTCCACGTGTCCATGACGCATGTCCCCATGTCCACACCACACGTCCACACGGCCATGACACATGGCCATGATGTCACCCGTGTCCACGGGTCCATAACATGACTGCATGTCCATGACAAACGTCCACGACACACGTCCACACGTCCATGACATGCGTCCACATGGCCGTGATGTCACCTGTGTCCACAGGTCCACAAGATGTCCACACCATGCTTCCACACCACACGTCCACGTGTCCATGACGCATGTCCCCATGTCCACACCACACGTCCACACGGCCATGACACATGGCCATGATGTCACCCGTGTCCACGGGTCCATAACATGACTGCATGTCCATGACAAACGTCCACGACACACGTCCACACGTCCATGACATGCGTCCACATGGCCGTGATGTCACCTGTGTCCACAGGTCCACAAGATGTCCACACCATGCTTCCACACCACACGTCCACGTGTCCATGACGCATGTCCCCATGTCCACACCACACGTCCACACGGCCATGACACATGGCCATGATGTCACCCGTGTCCACGGGTCCATAACATGACTGCATGTCCATGACAAACGTCCACGACACACGTCCACACGTCCATGACATGCGTCCACATGGCCGTGATGTCACCTGTGTCCACAGGTCCACAAGATGTCCACACCATGCTTCCACACCACACGTCCACGTGTCCATGACGCATGTCCCCATGTCCACACCACACGTCCACACGGCCATGACACATGGCCATGATGTCACCCGTGTCCACGGGTCCATAACATGACTGCATGTCCATGACAAACGTCCACGACACACGTCCACACGTCCATGACATGCGTCCACATGGCCGTGATGTCACCTGTGTCCACAGGTCCACAAGATGTCCACACCATGCTTCCACACCACACGTCCACGTGTCCATGACGCATGTCCCCATGTCCACACCACACGTCCACACGGCCATGACACATGGCCATGATGTCACCCGTGTCCACGGGTCCATAACATGTCTGCATGTCCATGACAAACGTCCACGACACACGTCCACACGTCCATGACATGCGTCCACATGGCCGTGATGTCACCTGTGTCCACAGGTTCACAAGATGTCCACACCATGCTTCCACACCACACGTCCACGTGTCCATGACGCATGTCCCCATGTCCACACCACACGTCCACACGGCCATGACACATGGCCATGATGTCACCCGTGTCCACAGGTCCACAAGATGTCCACGTGTCCGTGATGCATGTCCCCATGTCCACACCACTCATCTGCACGTCCACACCACACGTCCACACGTCCACACAGCCATGACACATGGCCATGTTGTCACCCATGTCCACAGGTCCATAACATGTCTGCACATCCGTGACACACGTCTACGACATAGGTCCACGTATCTACACGTCCACACGTCCATGACACTTGCCCACATGTCCATGATGTCACCCATGTCCACAGGTCCCCAAGACATCCACACCACATGTCTACGCCACACGTCCACACGGCCATGACACATGGCCATGATGTCATCCATGTCCACGGGTCCACAACACATGTCTGCATGTCCGTGATGCACCTCCACACATCCATGACACACGTCCACACGTCCTCCTGTCCACCACACATCTGCTTGTCCACCACACCCGTCCACACGTCCGCCTGTCCACCACACATCTGCTTGTCCACCACACCCGTCCACACGTCCGCCTGTCCACCACACATCTGCTTGTCCACCACACCCGTCCACACGTCCGCCTGTCCACCACACATCTGCTTGTCCACCACACCCGTCCACACGTCCGCCTGTCCACCACACATCTGCTTGTCCACCACACCCGTCCACACGTCCGCCTGTCCACCACACATCTGCTTGTCCACCACACCCGTCCACACGTCCGCCTGTCCACCACACATCTGCTTGTCCACCACACCCGTCCACACGTCCGCCTGTCCACCACACATCTGCTTGTCCACCACACCCGTCCACACGTCCGCCTGTCCACCACACATCTGCTTGTCCACCACACCCGTCCACACGTCCGCCTGTCCACCACACATCTGCTTGTCCACCACACCCGTCCACACGTCCGCCTGTCCACCACACATCTGCTTGTCCACCACACCCGTCCACACGTCCGCCTGTCCACCACACATCTGCTTGTCCACCACACCCGTCCACACGTCCGCCTGTCCACCACACATCTGCTTGTCCACCACACCCGTCCACACGTCCGCCTGTCCACCACACATCTGCTTGTCCACCACACCCGTCCACACGTCCGCCTGTCCACCACACATCTGCTTGTCCACCACACCCGTCCACACGTCCGCCTGTCCACCACACATCTGCTTGTCCACCACACCCGTCCACACGTCCGCCTGTCCACCACACATCTGCTTGTCCACCACACCCGTCCACACGTCCGCCTGTCCACCACACATCTGCTTGTCCACCACACCCGTCCACACGTCCGCCTGTCCACCACACATCTGCTTGTCCACCACACCCGTCCACACGTCCGCCTGTCCACCACACATCTGCTTGTCCACCACACCCGTCCACACGTCCGCCTGTCCACCACACATCTGCTTGTCCACCACACCCGTCCACACGTCCGCCTGTCCACCACACATCTGCTTGTCCACCACACCCGTCCACACGTCCGCCTGTCCACCACACATCTGCTTGTCCACCACACCCGTCCACACGTCCGCCTGTCCACCACACACATCTGTATGTCCACCACACACGTCCATATGTCCACAACACCCATCCACATGTCCACCTGTCCACCACACCTGTCCACACATCCACAACACCCGTCCACACGTCCGCCTGTCCACCACACGTCTGTATGTCCACAACACCCGTCCACACGTCCACACCTGTCCACACGTCCACCACATACATCTTCCTGTCTACCACACATGTCCACATGTCCACAACACCCGTCCACATGTCCGCCCGTCCATGACACATGTCCATATGTTCACGACACACGTCCACACCACCCATCCACATGTCCACAACACCCTTCCACACGTCCACCCATCCACCACACACGTCCACCACACACATCCACACATCCGCCTGTCCACCACACAGGTCTGAATGTCCACAACACCCATCCACATGTCCACCCATCCACACGTCCACCACACAAGTCCACACGTCCTCCTGTCCACCACACACATCTGTATGTCCACAACACATGTCCATATGTCCACCACACACATCCACACGTCTGCCTGTCCACCACACACATCTGTATGTCCACCACACACGTCTGTATGTTCACAACACACGTCCATATGTCCACCACACAGGTCTGTATGTCCACCACGCACGTCCACACATCCACAACACCCATCCACACGTCCACCACACATGTCCACAAGTCCTCCTGTCCACCACACACATCTGTATGTCCACCACGCATGTCCACACATCCACAACACCCATCCACACGTCCACCACACACATCCACACGTCCTCCTGTCCACCACACACGTCTGGATGTCCACAACACACGTCCATATGTCCACCACACACATCCACATGTCTGCCTGTCCACCACACAGGTCTGTATGTCCACCACACACGTCCACATGTCCACACGTCCACCACACACATCCGCCTGTCCACCACACACGTCCATATGTCCACACCACCCATCCACCTGCCCACAACACCCGTCCACACGTCCACCTGTCCACCACACATGTCCGCTTGTCCACCACACCCGTCCACATGTCCACAACACTCGTCCAAACGTCCATATGTCCACAACACCCATCTGCATGTCCACCTGTCCACCACACCGGTCCACACATCCACCCGTCCACCACACACATCCATCTGTCCACAACACCCATCCACGTGTCCGCAACACCCATCCATATGTCCACACCACCCATCCACACGTCCACCACACCTGTCCACACGTCTTCCTAGATC